CTCCAGCAATGTCGAGTGCGCTAAGTGAAGGGGCGGTGAAGAGGGTCTGCTGAGTTCAGATATGGTGTTGTCTTCTGGTAGAGACAACTCTATTCCACTTCTTTCCACTTTATCTACAGTGGTGTATACTATACTAAAAACATTTTAAAGTGATCAGAAATAGTCGCTAGATATATTTTTGTTGGAACTTAATTTATTTTAGAACTTTTTCAAAATGAAATACAAACAGTTTATTTAATAAAATATACTCTTTCGACTTATTAATTCTATATAAATTTATACAGTTAAAATCAAATGAATTTGTATTTTTTTTTTAATTTGTATCTTTTTTTTTAAAGTTTGCTTATATTGAAAAAATTTTCAAACAAGCAATTGTAAATTGTTATCGATTTGCCTTTCTTTCTATTAAAGGTTTTTGTTAGAGATTTTTAAAAATCAAAACTTTTAAATTTTATCATAAAAACTTCCCAATCATATACAATAACTGTGATGCCTGTTTTTTTCCGTCTCTACTTCGACTATTCCCAGTTTTTTCTCCACTTTGATGGTTTCTCTGGTTGTTGTTTTGATTAAACTGCTTTTTGAGTGGGGGATATGGATGTTAAGCTACGCAAAGTTAGCAAAAGAGGCGGGGAGAGTTGGTTTTAAATCATGATTAATATCTTATGCGAAGTTGACGGGGGGAGTTCTACTTCTTCGACTTCATTCCGTTGATAGCTCATAACGGTACCGGGTATACGAGCATAAATAACAGCTTTTTAAGCGCTGCATCTCGACGAACTTTAATTTGAGCTAGAAGAAAGCGGAGAGGCATTTCCCTCGGACAATGGACCAAAAGCGTCTCCCGCTGAATGGCTATTGAATTCATCCTTAACTGTTCTTGCTGACCGACAAACAAAACCCAAAATCCAGAAAAAATAACAGCAATAAAACTGGCTATGAACAACAATGCGAATCTGGATTTCGGTTTGCTCTCATGTCTGGAGAGTGGTTGCCTTTTGCCGTTTGGCATTTGAAGTGTTTATTGTGCCAAAACTTTTGACAATTGGCTTTTGAAATACTCTCCTGGGTGGAATACTCATAACTTAGGGACAAAGCTTGTCCCAGGGGAAGTGTGTATGTAGCCTATAAAAACTGGCGAATTTAACATAACTTCAATGACATAAATATTACGTTTTATGTGAATAAATAAAATATTTCAAAAGCAATCATTGCTAGTTTCACAAATGTTTTTTTTAAATATGGGAAAATATTATTCCTCCATATAACAATTTTTTTTACAATCTAAGAAACAACAAGTTTCAAGAGTAATATTTGCTTCGGTATTTTAAGTGTTTTCTCTTGTACAAAAGGAACAATGGATAAGAAAATAATTTGTCTTTGAACAATGTGAAAATTTCTAAAGGATTTCAAGTGAAATTTATAAAAATTGTATGGTGTTTGAATTGAGGTAACAACAATAGGTAGATTTAAAATTAAAAAATTATGAGAGCTAAAAGAATTTATTTTGAAAATGAACCTTACTTGGCCTAAATCGAAATCGACGAAACTCTTTCTTACATATCACCAAAATTTAACATACGTATCTGTTCCCATTACCAAGTACTCCAGTTTCAGTTCCTTCATGCAAATATAAAAAAATCACTTTGACACTTGAAGTCTGGCTTTTTTTTTTTTCTTTGTTACACTTATAAATAGATTTTTTTAACCAATTTTGTTTGCTTTTGTGGTTTCTGTTGTTGTTGCTGCTCATTGCCCTCATTTGTCATTCGTTGGCTTTGGCTTGCCGTGGTAATACGAGATTTTCCTACAATTTCGTGGCTCATGCCAATTGTTTTTATCGCCACTTGGGTCGAAAAACGTTGAAAGCGTGCAAATTCGAATGCAAATTTAACACCTCGTCGTGGTTGACAGAAAACAACCCAGCAATAAAAACAAAACAAAGCAAAATAACACAAGAGGAAACGTTTAACTTTTGAAAATTGAGCCGCAAATTGAAAATCAAGACGAGAAGCGAGCAAAAGTGAAAAAGTGGGTTAAAGCGAGCATAGAAAATTGAAATTGAATGCAGTTGACGAGGGAGACATACGTCGTTGACCACCAGACGATTACCTCACCACATGCATTTAAATATGTTCACATATATGTGCAATGCATCCAGTGGGCACTCCTACAACAACTTGAACAAGAAAAAAAGCAACGGCAAGTGATATACTGCAGAATATTCTGTAAATTATATTCTCCAAAATTATTCATATGATGCAATCTTAATAATCATAAAAATCCCAACTTCCTAACTTTAAAAACACAAAGTTATGGCATTCCAATCGTTCAGTTATATGGCAGCTATAGGATATAGTCGGCCGATCCTTATGAAATTTGATAGGTTAGATTGATTGGTTAAAAATAGAACCCATAAAAATTCCAACTTCCTAACTTAACAAAAACCAAAGTTGTGGCATTTCCGATCAATCAGTTATATGGCGGCTATAGGATATAGTCGGCCGATCCTAAAATTTGGTAGGTCGGATTGATAGGCCAAATATAAAACCCATAGAAAATCCCAACTTCCTAACTTCACAAACACCAAAGTTATGGCATTTCCGATCAATCAGTTATATGGCAGCTATAGGATATAGTCGGCCGATCCTTATGAAATTTGGTAGGTCGGATTGATTGGCCAAATATAAAACCCATATAAAATTCCAACTTCCTAACTTTAAAAACAACAAAGTTATGGCATTTCCGATCAATCAGTTATATGGCAGCTAAGGATATACCGACCCGGCCGTTCCGACATATATACTGCGGCAAAGGAAAGAAGGGTGTGTGCAAAGTTTCAACTCGATAGCTTTAAAACTGAGAGACTAGTTTGCGTAGAAACAGACAGACGGACATGGCTATATCAACTCAGGAGGTGATCCTGATCAAGAATATATATACTTTATAGGGTCGGAGATGTCTCCTTCACTGCGTTGCACACTTTTGACCAAAATTATAATACCCTCTGCAAGGGTATAAAAATACAAACCCAAGAAACTTGACAGCACTTCGTTGCGAAAGTGAAACTGAAATTGCAATTTTCATGCGGTCAAGCTGCTTAAAAAACCACAAGACACAAGTTCAGGTTTTTACTATTTAAAAGTTATGTAGAAGATAAACATAAGAAGATAAAAATAATATTCGATTTTATTATACATTTGAAATGATCTTCAAAGCCTTAATGAGGTTTTTTTTTATATAACAAATTGATCTATAAGTATTTTAAGCTGATTTTGCAAGTGCTCCTGTTCAAAGCGCAATTTTTAAATATTCAAAAAAAATCAAATTTATTTTTATAAGAGATAAAAATAACAACTTTACTCAATTATTTGATCTGCAAACATGTATAGTTTACGTTTTACTGGTATCGAAAGTTTCAGCTTAAGGCCATTCTTGTCGAACTGTAACGGTAGTTCAATTGGCCATATATTTAAAACCTCTGACCCTGTTACGCATGCGCCCTGAGCTGGAAAGTCATTTGCTTAAACCCAGATTCAAAGGCAGGTCACCAAAGAAAAATCCGATGATTTATTCCGGTTTTGGTTCGGGGGGTCAAAGATTGTTTCGCTTTCAGCTTTTCTCTTCGGGCTATGGAATGTGGTAAACTTACTTCTTTGGTTTTTATTTCACTTTTTTTTTTGTTGTTTACGTCCATCAAACAATTAACTATCGTATTTTTTTTGTTTCTACACTTTTAATTGTTGTTTAAACTGGTTTTGGTTTTGTTTTTTGCCAGCTTCCAGTGGCAGACAGCGTTGAAAACCAATTAGGAGATATTTTGTACTCCCATCTGGCATCTCTTTCGCCGAATGTATGTCCCTCTCTTTCGTCTGCTAATCCGCAGACAAGTTAATCGTTTGTTGACCTCCACGTCAAGGATGGCGGGGTGAAAGGGGATGTGTTGGGGCTCCATTGCGGTTTTTGAGATTTTTTCCTCTTTCGGAAAATTTGCATAACGCGTTGCAGGCAAACAAACACAAAAAAAAAACTATAGACACCAGACACGAAGTTGAGCTATCAAACCAAGTTCCATCACAAGTTCTTTCTTTGGTTGTTGTGCAGTTTTGTATCTGTGTATCTGTGCGATGCAAGTTCTTCTCTTCTTCATATGCCAAGTCACCACAAATCACGCAACATTTTCAATGTCTGTTTGTCTGGCTCTCATCTGTCTGCCTTGGCCAAGCTTATCTAACCAGTTATCTTAACTGAACGGTACTAACTAAGATATCTACTTATTTTTCGCCTTCATCTCTGAGTTTAGTTTAGACCTTGAGATATGGGGAATCTTTGAATAAAGCTATTCATCCATTAGTTGCGAAATACTTGGTGATACTTGTTATGCATTTTTCTTCTGTTTTTCACCCTTGGTTATTTTTATTTAAGCTTTGTGTTTGCTAAAAAATCACATTTGTAAAAGTAAAAAAATAGATTGTTATATTTCATTTTGAAATAATAGATCCGAAAATTTTTAAATGATTGGTTTTTATGATTTGTTTTAAAATTTTGAGTATTAATTTGGACGTAAAATGTTTGTAAATAAAAAAATTTATTACCTGCCAAATCAAAAATAAAAAAAATTTTTTTTTAATAGTTTTGGCTTAAAAAAATGATGAGCATTCTCAATTCGGTTTACATAAAAACGGCAATTTATAGACATTTTTATTTTTAAACCATCTTTCTCAACTCTTCCCGTTAGCCTTCCAATTAATTTTGGAGAAAATATATACGCATAAATTTTTAGTTAACGGAACGGTAAGAGAAACCTTTGAGAGCACTTTTTATGCTTGGCTTGGCCCAGAGTTTTCAGTTGCAATGCGCCAATTTGGCTAACAAGCAACAAAGAGCAAAAGCAGCGGCACCAAAAACAAAAAATAGCAATAATAATATTGCATTCTCGACAATTTCTTCTGATTCTCTGTTTGTAATTCAACGTTTTCCCCCCTCTTCTTTCGTTTCAGACATGGCACAAAACGTGTTTCAAATGCACAGAATGCGGCATGACGCTCAATATGAAAACCTACAAGGGCTACAACAAAATGCCCTACTGCGAGGCGTAAGTTTAACCAAGTTTATACCACCCCCTAACCCAAGACCGCCCCTTTACAAGACCATCGTCCCCCCGCCATTCGGGATCTACGAACAATTGTGGAAAACACGGTGGGGGCAATCACGTTAAGGCTTATCGTCGCACCCACTCGAAATCGGAATGCGATGCAGGATGGTCAACCTTGATTTGCTTCACTCACCTGGCAATCTTCATTAGCGTCGTTTATCTAATCGCTCCAGGGAGATAGTGGAAGTTCCCCTACCACGGAGATAACGTTTAAATTCACTGGAAAATTGCAAAAACTCTCGAATGTGGGTGAACAAAAAGTGCAGCAGCTGGTTAGGGAAAAGTCCGGGAGGAATAAGGAATGCGGAATGCGGAAATGCAGTTGTGGGCCAGGCCACACAGTGTTACCCACTCCAGTTCACCCGGTGAACTAGTTAATTGTTCGTTCGTTTGATAACAGCAGCTGCCCCTAATGGCGTTTAGATTTAATTGCTGAAGTTGAATTTTTCAGATTGTTTGTTTAACGGCGAACCTATGATTGAATTTAGTTTATTTATTTATTTATTTTTTTTTTTTTAAGAATTTATTCGTTTATTTCGAATGTTATTTACGTAGATTTTTTTTATTTTCCCACCGGTTTAATTCGTTTGGTATTTTTACCAAATTTTATAATTCATCTCAAGAAGTGTAAAATAAATAGTACAAATTTAAAATAGTTTAAAGTAACTCCTGTAAAAATTTTTTTTTTTCAAAACTTAAAATTTGTGCCTTTTCTGAACTGCTAGAACTAGTTTTTCTTTTTAGAAAACAGGTGATTAACTCCGCCATTGAACGTTTTCGCACACACAGAAGTTTTCCTGTTTCCTGCTGAGCTGTTCAACTCGCGAATCGCATGGGGAATCTGTGTCACATGGGGGGCGTTATAAGTCCCCTTTCGGGTTCCCATAACCCCCTTTTCCCATACCTAACTCCACCCCTGTCTCCGTCTTCCGATGTCATGTTCATTGTTGTAGACAATGTCACACACATTGGACTGGGTAAGCGGACAAGAGAGCAAGTGTTTTGCTTTGTATTGTGGCCAACACCAACTCCACTCCTTTTGCCCAATTTTTTGCTGCAGTGCGTGGCTGCATTTGCTGGCCTTGAGCCAAAAGCCAGGGGCGCAGTGGAAGAGGGCTTTTGGGGGATCGTTCTCCTTTGGTTCTAGTACATGTTGTCCTGCGACTGCTGCTGCTCTAATGCAGATTTATTGTGGATGCCACCGCTGCGGGAATAAAAATTCCATGCGGATTGAGTTATGCGTCCGTTAGCTCCATTGCGCAGTGCCCCCTCTCACGATTTTCCAGGCGAAAACTGTCTGGTATCACATGTCCCGTTCGCTTTGTGCGAATTTCCACTGATGTCATCGCCTGCATAAATTGTAAAATGGATTCAGCAATGTGGTTTAACGGAGTAGTGTAGCGGTTACGCCCCGTTTTCCGCTGCCGGCACTTTCACTGCATTTCCTCGAACCGTTTGCACCTATCCGGCCAATGCTGCTCCCCGATTACGTGACGCCACGTTTGGGAATCCGGAGCTTCTCCTTTGCCCGACTTCGAACTAGATTTTTATGCGGGGTACTTGCGGTGTTGAAAGGATATATTGAATTCTTTATAGAAAATGCTAAAGCACTAGATATTCGATTGAATTTATAGATTTTTTATATTTTTTTGGAGTGCCGGTATTGAAACAATATTTCTCAGTTATAAGATGTTTTCAAAATGATGATGATTGAACCTTTTTACAAAACTTTAAAATATATCTCAAAAAAAGGCTCATGTAAATTAGAAAATAACTTTAAAATATATCTCAAAAAAAAGAACATGTAAATTAGAAAATACCATAACATTAAAGTCCCAAATCAATGTTTAATGGAAAAATCCAATCGTCTCAAAAAAATAAAACATACTCATAAAATATTTAATGCTATATTAAACGTGTCGTAATTTTAAAAATATTTTAATGGTTTTCCCAAAAAGCGTTTTCAATTCAAATTTCATCATTCTAAGAAATTCAATAAATAGGGTATTTTTGTATGAGAAAAACAACTAAAATTGTCTTCCTTACATTTTACAACTGCAGCGACTTCAACTTCCACTTTTTGGTTTGCATTTTATAATTGCTTGAGAAGTTTCGCCTGCCTGGTTATTCTTCGGGGCCTTCTGTTAAGTTCCGTCTGCAGACAAAAGATAGTTTCCCAGCCAGTTACGTTACGGGTCAAAACAAAGTTTTCATAGTGCCGCTTTCTTGGGCGTTCGGGCTGAGAGGTCAGTCGCCCAGTGGGGATAACACGATTGCAATAAATTATGAAGTTCATTCGCAGGATAAATGAGGGAAACGTGCAATTAAAGTTGGGCCACATATGAAGCTGAAGTGCCAGACAACTGATTGTTAATTGGATTTGAGGGCCATGGAAGTTATGGCCCAAAGGAAGGAAGTGCTCAAAATTGGAGGAGTACTAAAAGATGGATGGGAAGCATTTAAAATTGTTAATTTTGAGTAGATTAGCTTGGAATAATTTATAATTAGCAGTTTACCATTTACCAAACTTCCAATTTTGTATAGTTTAGTTTTTCCAACTTGCAGAAATTGAAAGATAGAAAACTAATTTTTCATACAAATTTACCTTGTTTGCAATCTATTTTGTTAGCTTGCATTTTAAGCCTTAAGCTTCTTTATTTTTATATTCTTAAAAACAAAGTTTGGTAATGTATTTGTTCGTTTCAATAAGAATAGCTCATGTATTTTAGATTTCTATCAAATAAGCTTTGGACTCCAGTAGCAAACCAGCACAAAGAAAAGGCAAATAAACGCATAGCTCAAATATATCAGATTTAGGGAATATTTCAAGCTTCCTTTTGTCGCCCCCTTTATTCGGAAAGGATACGTTCGACTTTGCACAACTTGGAACTTATGGGTAAATTTCCTTCTCCAACAAACGAAACTTTCTCCTCGCCCTAATTGCATCTTGAAGTAGAGCTTTCCTGGACGTTCTCTACCTAAGGCCGAAAGCAGTAGGACATGACAGGAAAAAAGAGCCGGCTTTAGGCCAGGATATGCCAAAAGTGCACTCACATATGTATACAAACACATGTGGGGAGGAAACTTCTATTCATGCAATTTTGTATACATTACATTACCAGGCCCCATTTAGTTGGAATTGAACTAGAAAACGAGATGTTTACAATGTCTTGCTTGTTTTTGTGTGCACTTTTTTCGCATTTATTTAGTATTTCATTTCGTTTTCCCTTACTTGTGTAAAAAAAAAGGGGCTTGCGAAACATCTGCTGAACAGAAGACCCATACATATGTAGGTATATATCATTGGCATTTATTTATTAACATAAAAACCCAGTGAACCGTAGTCATTCAACCCAACATTCCAAAACCCCGCCCTCTGTGCCACATTTCTTCTTGTCTTCTCTCATTTCATTTTGCATCACAATTTTTTTTTACTTTCGTTTTGAAATGCGGCTTAAATATCCGAACAATACAGTGGGGTTATATGGGATATTTGTATAAATGTGCATATATCTTCGTCTGATTACTTAAGCCGCCCACAAAATAGAAAACAAAAGTGACAACAGCCACAAAAAAACCTTTTCAATTACCAAAAAATAGTTGGGTCAGCAGACTGGCAGACAGAGAGATGGGGCATTGTCTCATTTTCCCACTATTTTATGCCAAATACAAAAATTTGTGGTCGTTTGTTTAGCTACCGAAATGAGCTGGGAGTGGTGTCAACAATTACCCCGGAACACCTTTCTTATCCATCTTTTGAATATGAATTTTTAAAAGCTTTAAACACGCGATGGGGTTTAACACACAGTCACTCACTGCCTTTCGCTGTCTGTGAATGGATTTTCGAACATTTATGCTCACTTTGATTGACTGCAACGGATTATGAATACCGATGATGACGTTGATGGGCCAATGCCAAAACTTTTGGGGGCAAAATACATAAGCCCAGAGTGAGGGAAAGAGAGAGGGGAAAGGAGATAATCGTGTTGGTCGGACATGCATTTAATATCAATTTTAACGCTTTTGCAAATTATGTGTGAAATGATTTCTCTTTTAGTTATGCAATTTCAGCCAGCAAATTAAGAAAATTATTTCTTAATGAGAAAACGATTTTAAACGTTCGAAAAGTCGTAATTTTGTCTTGGTTTAACAGAAATAGCCATTAAAAAAGGAACTTTATCTATTATCAATGATTAATGAATTTATGTTCTTTGGTTATTGGGTTTTATAAAAAAAAAATCTAAAATCATTCGGCATTTTAATTAACTTGCATATAATTTTCTGCAGGCTTGCATTATTTTAGTGGTAAAATCTCTGATAAAGTTAATCCATTAAGCACTTTAAATCATTACACTCAATAAGATTCGAGGAAATAATTTTTAAAAACACACATTTTTAAGTTAAATTCAAGAGTTTTATATTTATTAATCTTCAAATGTATGATATTATGACTTTGAAATTATGTTCTAAAGAGTTGTCTTAAACATTTTAAAACTTATTTAGTAGAGTAGCATACAACAAAAAAGTTAAATAATCTCAAACGTTTCTTCATTGGAAACGCGATTGTAAACCATCTTTATCAGTCATAGCCAATATAAAGTCGTTGGTGCCCTTCCCTGTTTTACTTAAATTGATCCATTGCACAAAAACAACAAAATCGTCGAGCAACAAAAGACTGTCATGGTAACTCAACACCAATCGCCGTCACTGCTTGTTTCACATGTACAAAAATTAAAAAACAAAGAAATGGGAGTAAGAAACAATAACAACAGTGAAAAACCAGAAAAATATGTTGACATCCAATGAATGTCCAAACCGATTTTCTCGTTTATGTGTTGTGCTGGTTTTGGGTGGACTACGCCTAGATTGGTTGGTATCTCGACGGTGGATGATGTGGCCACCACACGATGTAGTCCAGTTTGATGGCCAGGAATCCAGACCTCCTTTCCATCAAAAGCAATTTGTGTGGGAAATCATTAAAAGTGGCGGAAAAAATGCATCTTTTGATTGACTGTTAAATACACTTTTTAGTGAGAATAGAAATTGTTGTGTTAGGTAAGGTAGTAGTTAAAATTATCTCTTTTAAATTTTGACAAGTTTTCTAATGAATATTTCTCTGTAAATACAAATTTTAGAAAATGGAATATGTTTCAAATAATTATTACCAAATTTGTGAAAATTTAATTTTAAAGTTTATTAAAAGTATATCTTTCTTTGGTCTAAAAATTCCGTTTAATATTAAAGGACACGAAAAAGTTTTTAAAAATACATTTATAGCAATGTCCTTATAACCTTTTACAGACATTTTCAGTCTTATTATTATTGGGTCAGTGTGGAAGAAAATGAAGAATTATTATGACCAACAGAACTGTTGTTGGTTCTTATTCCTTTCCGTTGTTGCTATTGTTGTTGTGTATTGTTTACGAACAAATTAAAATTCTTTGATAATAAAAAAGTAAAGCACAAAAAAAGAACAACAATTGCATCATACACATGCATTGTTGTTGCTGGCGTGGCTGCTGCTGTTGCCGACGTACATGTTGCTGTTGTTGCTGTTGCTGGTGATCTATTGGGAACGTGCTGAGACATCCGCTGGTGGTAGCCGTTCGCCAATGTCGCCTCCGGGCGCTTAAGCATTGTTATGTCATCATTACCAGCTACCAGCAACAGTAGCAACACCAGCAACATCAGCGGTAGCAGCAGCAACCTCAGTTGCAACAGCAGCAATGTGTGCCAGCTACAACAGCAATTTGACCGACCGAACGCAACGGCAATGCGGACGATGCTTTCTGCGGTTCGGGCTTTGTACTTATTTCGCCCCTTGTCCCCTCCTTCATTGGTTCTATCTATGGCACACACATGCAACGCATATTGAACGATAAAGCAAAGTAAAGCAAAGCTTACACCAGCAACAACAATGCATTATTGCTGTCCATGTTGTTATTGTTGCACTTGGGCACACTCTTTTTGTGGGGTAGTATTGTTTATCAAAGGTATTTGTAGTACCCCGAAAATTATGTTAGTTTGCAAACATAATATTCATGAGAATTCATTTTGACAAAATAAAAAGCGATGTTTCTTTAAATCTTATCTTAATAAAACATTCTTATAAAAGATTATTTGGATCTATTCTAAACTTTCAAATGGTCTATTAAGATTATATTAACACTTAAGAAAACAGTAGATATTAATTACTTTTCTTGTCTTTCATTTCCTTAGAAGAATGCATCTCTTTTTTTTGTGATAAGTAAAATTTGTCTTAATACAAGCTCATTTTTTTTGAGGAATTTCTTAAGAACCTTGCAAATCAGAAAGTAAGATTTGTCAAAGAAAAACAGTATTATGCTATTTGTTTTCCGAAAGAGTATATCAAATTCGCCACTTTGAATTCGGCTTAGACTAATTCTTGTTGTTTGGAATAGACCTACATGCATCGGTGCTCTCTCAATGATTCTGGCTCTGTTGCTGCTCACACGCTTTGGTCATTAAACGGCCTTGTGCCACTATCAACTATCCACTATATATACCATGTACCTACCATATACCATTCTATACCATCCATCTCGGTGGTGGTCACCTCTGTGCGTGTGTGACAGTTTGCATTGTTTGTCGCTGGTATTCGCATTCCACAGTGATTGCAACTTATTTTCAGTGGGAGAACGTTGTGAAAACACAATTCCCTGCCACCTTTCAAAGCTCGGCGCCAGCTGTAGGCGATTAGGAAATCGCTAAAAAGCCCATAAATATTCTATAAAGCCAATAGACTTGCATGCAATTACGTTTACAATATGGTTATATGGGGGGAGGGCCATAAGACCAAAAGGGTGAAAGCGGGACTTCCCTGCTGTGAGTTTATCAACCTCACGACTCATCGAGGTTGGTTATCAGTTGCGTTGTCCAATCGATCGATCGATTAGCCCGTTGGTGGGTTAAAGCACTCTGCTCATGGTCGCAAACAAAAAGAGTCATGAATTTATGGAACTGGCATGCGTGTGTTTGTTCATTATGATTACTTTTGTATAACAGATGCGCCATGTTATTACTTGCTGCTGCCAATAATTAAATTGATGTATTAGCCTGTGGGGATGAATCACGAAAAACGGTTCAGAAAAGTGCAATCAAAATATCGGTGGTATTGTTTTTTAGTTGCATCCAACTATTTTTACTTTAGTTTTAATAATTTATTTGGGCTTAATGGCATAATTTTGTTCACCATTTGATTTATTTCAGTTATAAAATTCTGGCACTAATTTTAATAGTTTTTAAAGGTATAAATTCAGCGTTTGTCAGTTATTAAATAAACTATTGATTAAATTTAAATGTTTGAAAATGTAATTTTTAAGCTCAAAGGAATTCTTAGAGCTTAAGCTTGTGTCTCCTCAAGTTTAAATATACATTTATAAAACCAAAATGAAATAGTTATATATTCTTTTGTTTTAAATCGTCATGTTGTCATATTGGACTAAGAGTTTTTTTCCCAAACCAAAAGCTCCCACAAATATATCTGCAAATTTAAAACAAAAAAAGAAACTAGAAAACTTTTTACCAAGTCTTTTGATAAATTGCACTCAGCCACAGACAAATCTCTGGCAATGCATTCCGTTATTTGCTGGCGGGTAAAGAAAATCCAAATCAAACCACAGAAATACACGTAGTTTCTGCTGTTGGCTGTGTTTTAATTGATAAAAACGAAGCGTACTGTGAAGGGGTGAGGTCAGAGGTTTTCACACGAAGCCAACATGAAATCAGAGATGGATATGATGCTGTTGCTTTATATTCCCCCGAGCAGAATCAGCATCTCTCATTCCACCCACTCTAGCGGAATTTCCGTGAATCCAAGTTGGCCAGCTGGCGTGGAGAATTTTAAGCCAGAGCTCCGATTGCCACCGGCAGTGTGCGAGTATGATGATGAACTTTATCTGCGGCTTGCCACAGAATGAGCGACTGCAACTGCAGTTTGACTAACGTTAACTCCTCTAACTCTGATCTATAACCCCGTTTTCTTTCTGTTTCCCCCCTTTGCAGACACATACCGAAGGCCAAGGCAACGGCCATTGCCGATACGCCCGAACTCAAGCGCATCGCGGAGAACACGAAAATCCAGTCGAACGTTAAATACCATGCGGACTTTGAGAAGGCCAAAGGCAAATTTACACAGGTCAGTGAAAAAGTTGAGAGTTGAGATGCACAGGGAATAAATATAACCGATATAAAAATAAAACTAATCTTCAATCTAATCTAGACTTAAAAAAAGAAAATATTTTTCTAAAACATTCAAATTGAAAACATTAAATTGCTGCTTAAGATTGGTTATCATTTCGTGTTTTTTTTTGTAACCCACAGGTTTTCGGCTTGTAAACATAGTCTATAGATTAAACTTAAAAGTTGGATACCACCCACCCTACTGTGCATTCTAATGTAAAGTTTTTTTCCCTGTGCTAAACCGAACATACTCCCCATTTATATTATGCCTCTACTAATTGGTTATGTATCCGACAGGTGGCCGATGACCCGGAAACGCTGCGGATCAAACAGAACACGAAGCACATATCGAATGTGGCATATCACGGCGATCTGGAGAAGAAGGCGGCTATGGAGAAGCAGCGAGGATCCGCCGAGGTTTCCGACAGCAGCAGTGAGTAGCCGCATTGCATTCGACCTCTGTCTATTTATTTTTCCATCTCCATGAATTGTATCCCTCTGTAACTGTATCTTCTCCTCCTCATACTCACTGGTATCAAAGCTTTATTGTTTGTGACCGCTCGTTCGCTTAATAATGGTTAGTTGGTGGTGGGCCGGGCTTACTGTTCGAATTAATTTATTCGAATTTCAATTGACTTAATGTGTTTATAATAGTCTATTGACGTCATTCATTCATGCATGCAAACAGATGTATAAAAAACTTACAAAGCATGTTTTCAATGGTCTTATGTAAAGTGTTTATTGAATTGATTTTGAATTAAGGATTCATGTATGTTATTTTAAATTAAATACAGTTTAATAATTTAGTAAATTTGGCAGTAAAATAATTCCTTACAATGCTGTTTTTACCCAAGGAAAAAAGAATTATTAAAGATTTCAAGATAAATCGAATGTAAATTCCTATTTAAACAACACATTTAAAAAAAATTACAAATTTTAATTTTTTCTGTTTCATTTATTTGCATGTACTTAATTAATCCTATGTAAAAATAGTTTACCCACCGTATTTCTACTTTGTTAATATGAAAATGGCATGTCTGCGTTTGCATTTCTGCACAATTTATCTATTATGTATCTATTTTCATCACATCCGTCACATCTGTCACATATTGTAATTAATATTGATTATAATTCCGTTTTTTATGGTTTGTTTTCTTTACTTTTATTTTGTTGCGGACTTTGTTTATCATTTGTTGGCATATATCCCCCACATCATCAACAACTGCAACAACATAATTTGTGTGCTTTCTGAACTACCGTTACCCTAACGATAAACACAACACAAAACACACACATCCACACTAACAACAAAAACTGTGGACAATGTTGTAACTAATAAAATGTCACCCAAAAAAAAAAAACAAAACGATGAATATCGACATAATCGAAAAGATGAATCGGAATATTTCTCTGAGCAATTGGCAGCTGAACAGTTCTCGCAATATGCACCCACAGCCTCACCCATACCGCCAGCAGTGACAACACTACACCAGCAACATCAACAGCTACAACAGCAGCAGCAACAACAGCAGCAACAACAACAGCTTCAACAGCAGCAATACCAGCAACAACTGCAGCAGCAACAACAACTGCAGCAGCAGCAACAACAACAACATCAACACCAACACTATCTGCAACAGCAGCAACAAACCCTGCCACCGCCTCCAATACAACATCAGCAATACAACACAGCGGCTATAACGCCCACATACCAACAACTCCAACAGCAACAACAACAGCAGCAACAACGAGCACAGCAGCAACTGCACGATCCTTATGCACACTATCAGCAACCGCAGGCTCTGCGCCAGCAGCAACAACAGCAGCTGCTGCAACAGCAAGCCATTAAACAAGCCTCACATCTTTATCCCACAGCAACATCCCAGCAGCAGCAGCAACAGATGCCTCCATCTCAGTCGCAGGCAAATCCGCAGCAGCAAGCGCTTAACAGCTACAATGAGATGCGCTCGGCCATACTCCAGAATTCCCATCATCCCAGCGGCAATTCCGTGGATCAGTACGACCAGGCACAGGCGCACATTAGCAACCCCACGCTTGTTGCTGCCCCACAGCAGCAGCAATCGCACCACAGCCTGCTGAATAACAATGCCAACAACGGCGGCAGTTCGCACAGCAACCACAGTAACATCAACAATAATGGACACGGCTCCCAAAGCCAAATGTTGCCGCCTCAAATGAGACGCTCGGCGGCTAGCGTGGCCTACGATGGCAACAACAAGCAACAAGTGTCCGCAGGAGCACCACTAGCAGCCGGACCAGGAGTGGCCCAGAATCACCTGCAGCAGCTGTACGCTTCGCCCAATTATACCGCTGTGACACCTTCCGAAAATTCGATAAACGTTAAACAGCACGCCAGCAATGGCCATGTGCCAAACCAGCAACAGCAGCAGCAACTTGGCAATATCGGGAAGATAGCGGACTACGATCCGCTGACGGATGGGCCAAGGGTGGTGCCCAATGCCGGCAGGTCTAGCACCACTTTGGTCTACAGCTCCGAGCCACGGGGGGGCAATCAAGGTGGTAAGTTGTGGGGCTGGCTAGCTGGTAGTTCGAGGTAGTGCGCTCAGCTCGATGTTACACAGTCATCTTGTCCTTGTCCCCAGCTAGAAATCATTTTGAACCGAAACTAATCGACATTTGTATTTCCGCACAGGCAATAGCGTGTACCCGAAGCGAATTGGTTCCGTGACCGATATCGACCCGGCCAATGGAATTTATGGATCGCTGAGCGGCGCCGAGCAGGCTCACCAGCAGCAGAAGCACCATCAGTACTATCAACAGGTGCAGATGATGCAGCAGCAGGAACACCCGTCGCAACAACAGCAACAACAGTTGCGCCAGCAGCCATCCTACTCCTCCCTGCAGGAAAAACAGTCGCGCCAGAGCACTGCATTGGTGAGTGGTGATCCTCCAAGGGATTAAACTGTTTTGAAATCAGTAAAAAAAAATATGTTTTTTATCTTTTCAGCGCGTCTATCGGGCCATATACGACTACGAGGCGCAGGACGTCGACGAGGTCAGCTTCCGCGAGGGCGACGTCATCTTCGAGGTGGAGTCCATCGATTCTGGCTGGATGACCGGGCGGGTGGAGCGTACCGGCAAGACCGGCATGCTGCCCGCCAATTATGTGGAACAGGCGGTTATATAATAGGGAATGTTCTACTACTGCTGCTGCCGCCAGCAGTTTGTGGTGATCCTCGTCTGCCTGCTCTACATTCTGCTCGTGCTCGCCTTCTTTGTCAATGTCTTTATCGCGGATCGCAACATGCACGCAAATCTGATGATGAGGAACGGCCGGCACGGCGTTCATGGCGGAGGTGGGGGATCGGAGTCCCTCCGCCGGCAGGCATGCATCCCGGGCACCACAATCCGTACGACATGCATGGCTACAACCATTACAGCAACTACCATCCGCAAGTTGATCCCAAGCAGCAGCAGCAGGATGCGGCCAAGAAGACGCCTCAACAGCAGGCCGAACAGGACATTTACTACTATTTCAATCACGTATTCAGGCGGCGGCGACGGCGATGATGGGGTCACACACACCCCAACCCACACCCAAAATTTAAATCTTTAGTGCATTATCTTATACTACATCCACTACATACATAGATATATAAATACTATATATAGACAAGCAGCGGATCATGTAAAAAGAGACGGGAAATTAATTGTAAAATTAATAGTAATCCAACCAAGAACCAACAATCCGATATACATCTTATCAAATAAACAGAGCCACAGCAGAGTTACGAGAAATCAACAACAGAGTCGAATGAGTTTCAACTATGAATCGGCCGATATATGGCAGCGTATCATATATTTGCTTCGATTCCAATACGAAATTGATCGACCAAGCTAACCCAGCCAAGTTTGCATTTATCTACAGCCCTTTAACGAATCAAATTTATACAGATATTTATTGAAGGATATACAAAACGTTAATCAGCTAATTGTACGCTATAGCTAACCAATTATATACAAATACGAGTATCTATAGACAACTCTTCTAGCTAAAATGCTTCAGCATAACAAGTTATGGATAGCCGAATCGCAAGGCAAACGTTTTCTAATTTAATTAGAAGTTCTTAAAATACTACTTATGGGGCAAAAGCTAACGAAAATTTCCCCCTCCCAGTTTACTAAGGCTTTTTGAAAGCTTTTTCGCGTTAGCCTACTCAGATTCTGATCGGTCTTAATCTGATTCTTTATCCCTACAATTTTGTCAATTTATCTGTGTAAAAGAGGAGGACATAGGAGATACTGTTCTTGTTTTTGGGGGAAATTCCTGTTTTTAATATATATATTTTTGTTAAGAGAATAATAATTATATTGTTTGTTTCTAGTGTTAAATTGAAGAAGATAATAAGGAGATATTGTTTCGTTTCACAAAATAAATCCTTGAAAGTGCCTTTAATTTGCTAAAACGTGTTTTTTAGATAAAACCAATTTACTAGGCTTACCAATAATGCATTAAAGAATCAATAAAATATACTTATATTGTAACTTATGCATCTTCATACCATATGCAAAGAATTAAGAACGAATTTCAAACGCAAATATCGAAACAATTTACAAACAGCAACTAAAAATAATTTAATATGTGATTGGAGTAATGTTTATCTATGGCAAGTCAAGCTATATAATGTATTATTAACTTAACTTACACCACACTCACACACATACATAGCTATAGACAACAACTAATAACAATTATATAGGCATAATGCAATTTAAAATGCTTCGAGTGGAAAAATCACCTAACAAAAACATGAATTAATCTTAACTTATCCTGAAATAGAAGCAGCGCCAAAGGCTTCGTTTTGTGAACATGTTACAAATAAAATAAAAATTATGAAAACTAAAAGCATATGCCTTTTGTTTTAAAAACTAAGCTTTCTATTGTTTGGTTACTTTTTGGGATTATCGATTTTCAGTTCCAATGGCATTTAAATTTAATAATTGTTTTGCTATCAATAACGGATACTGGTATGGCCTTTCATCGGGTTTATCGCATTGGAAAGAACATAAAAATTAATCAAAATACAAATTATGCCTCTCCATCTTAATTAGTGGATGGAACTTTCGCTGGTTGGTTGTTTGGGGGTTTCAGTATTTTTGCTGCTAGGTAAGCCCCCTTCGCGAGCACCGATTATGGTGTCCAGGATTATAGTTTTAGAGTTGTTCATGGTCTCCTCAAAGAACTTGGCATCAGCACGCTTCTCCTCGGTGACATATTCCAGCTTCTCGGTCAGCATGGTGATCTTCTCATTGGCCAGCTCAAGACTGCAATAAAATAAAGTATTATTTTTTAGCTAAATACAAAATTTAATAGAAATAACTAGTATTTGCAACATATTTAGTTTATAAATAATTTAGAAATTTCTTAGGCCTAAAGTGTAGCTACATTGCCAAATTAAATATTTAAAAAAGCTTAACAGTTACAGAATTTTTTTTTAAGTTTTTCATGTTCAGTAGGAAAATTATATTAAGAAATTAAATGATTTTTAACAACCAGAACGAAAATACATTTAAAAAAATAAGATATATGAAGCGTAACCTTACTTATGTTGAAAATTATACTTAGTCATACTTAAGTAATTTTCACATAATCACAAGAAGGATCGACTATTGGAACTTTCGAATGTACTCACTGATTCTTTAGTTCCTCTATTCTGGGCTCAGACTGTCCGCCGGAATTCAGAGTGCTGACCGACTGGTACTGGGACTGGTTCTCGAAGCTGAAGGAGCCAATTGATCCGTTAAGAGAAGTGCGACTCAGCGAACTGGCGTAATCGGCCATTCGCTGGGTGCGCTTCTTCTTGTCGGACAGCATATCTATCTCCTTTTCCAAGTCCCTAATCTTTACCTCAAAGCGGCTGATACGAGCCTTTAACTTTCCGCTATGATCCTGGGTAGCCTCATTTTTTTTGCGCTCCGACTCCAAACGTTCTCCCAGTGTTTTGTTCAGCAACATTAGCTGGTTCTTCTCGACCTCGAGGGCATCCAGGATGCCCACAAATTCCTCCTGGAATGAAAAGTTTAATTAAAATTGTATGAAGCTCTATTAAATATTTTGTTTTTACACATATTTTTATCATTCATGCTTAATAAGGTGCTTTATAGATAAATTTGTTGATTAGTAAACTTGTCCTTTTAAAAATATATCTCCAAATCAAGATTTTCACAAACTTTTAACTATAAGGTATACCTTTTTCGTGGCTTTACCTTTCGAAACTCGCGACATGAAAAGAGAAATCCGCCGGAGAGGGCACGCAGGTCCATCTCCAGCTTCTTAATCATCTCCTGCAGACTGCCCATGGCCACATCCTTCTGGTTGACCACTGTCTGCAGCTCCATGTGCATACCGCTCAGCTCCTCCATCTGGCGACGCGAGAGATCCCGCTCCTCGGTCACCCGGAGCAATTCGCTGCGCATGTCGTCCAAGCGACTCTCATACTGAATACGCTGGCGGTTCAGCTTGTCATTCATGGTATTTATATTGACGCCATTGAAGTCGGTCTGCTCCTCCAGCTCATTGGAACGCATCTTGTACTTGGTCATGTCCTCGTTAAGGGTCTTGTTCCTCACCTTCAAAGCCAGTGTCTTGCTGCGCTGCTCCTCCAGCTGGGTGTGTAGGTTAAAGATCTCCTTCTCCAGGGACTCCACCTTGGCCCGGTGGAGGATCTCACTTTTTCGTACTCCAGGAGTAAAGCGATCAAAGCTGGCAGTCGTACCGCCACCATCACCTCCGCCCAATCTCTCTGAGCTGGCATGATGGGATCGATTGCCAGACGACACCAAATCAAGTTCGAATCCCAGGGGCACTGGGGCATACTCCACGCGATCTGCAGCTCTTTCTTCATAGGAGTCCAGCCGAGCCTTGAGCTCCTGCACCTTTTGGGTGAGCGTGATGATCTGCTGGGCACGACCACGCCAATTGGCCTGATTGAGATTGTTGGCCAGTATGTTGATGTTGCAGCTCTCCCCAATCTCGTGCTGCAAGCACTTTTGGGCCAGTTTCAGTTGAGTTTGCAACTCGGTGTTTTTGTTGCGGGTTTCGAAGAGCTTCTGCTGCATACTGTTGATCTTGGCCTGAAGCTCGTCGGCGGAGCAGCCCTTCTTCATTAGCTCCTGGTTCTGCTGCAGCTTCTCCTCGTGGGCTCGCAGATTCCTTTCCAACTTCTCGATTTGGGACTCCCTTTTGACCAGCCGACTCTTCGACTGCTCCAATTCGGCGCGCATCTGACGGTTCTTCTTGCTCAACTCCAAGATCTTTGTGGTGGCTATGGAGGAGTTGCAGCGCAGCTCATCAATGGGCACCGAGTTGAGGACGTCATTGAGGGATTCTACGGATTTCTTTAAGGCAAAAATCTCATCATTCTTGTCCTGGATGGACTGGGCCAGTGACTGGTTCTCCTGCTCGCACTCTGTGAGCTTCTTGCGCAGCTTTTTGGCCTCCGGTTTTGGCGGCTTCGGCTTGCCCGTTGTGGTGGCCACCACCACATGAGCGGCGGCCATGGCTTCATGGTCATGCCGGCGCCGCGAGGAGCGAGCCATCTTGCCGACCAGGCGCTCCTGATCCTCATCCTGCTTGGCCTCGTACTCATCCGGCAGCATGTCCATCGCGATTGGATCTAATAGTTAACATAAAAATATACACAATCGAATCGAACAATTTCGTTGGCTGGGCGCAAATAATTTATAAGTGTATCTGTAGATGTTACGAAATAATCACAATTTT